GCAAGAACAGAGCTATCCTGGATAGGTCACACCCACTAATTGCAAAAGAACTCCAGCAACTTACCGAGCAAATAAATGACCTCAATCACTTCATTTCAAAGTCTGAAGGAGCTTTAGGCTAATTTATCATGGCAATTCTGATAGTTAAAATATGGAACACACAAGCCCAAATATTAAAGAAGCAAAAGCGATACTATTCATACCAAAATTGGGTCAAGCCATTCATTGAAATTTTTTTCAATGGTCAAATGTTGAATTGCCTAAAGGACAAAATAAAATTCAAAATAAAAAAGACAAATTATATAGAAGATCAGTTACTACAGATATTTTGTGTCTGTACCAATCCGAAACAACTGACAACCTTAAGGATATTCATTTAGGAGTAGTCAAAGCCATTTTGGAGGGAGAAACTACCAAACTAAAAATTACAACAAAGCTATTGTTGGCCTACTTTGCAAAAAGATGCTTAAAAATTTCAAATATATGCATTTCATACTAGGAGTTTACTCCTAGGCAGCTTAAACCTACCTTAATTCATGGTTATTTGCTATCTTGTGAATAGATTTACGTAACTTAAACCTATATAAGGCACTAAAGGTATTTGGGCCAAGATGACCGGATCTACTTCGTTAACCGTGCGAATCACACGATCTTTGATGACTAGTCAAACTCCTTCCATTATATCTCATAGATGAAAACCAATTAAACAAATTTTCTAAACTTATATTCAACTAAATCAGCAAAAAGTTTATTGACCTAAGTAGACTAGAGTGGTCACCATTTCATGCTTAAATCTAAAAGTATAAGATCACTCCTTACAAGCAATCCAAGAAAAGTATAGTTTCATCTAAGCAATGAGTTTCACTTGAGACTAACCAGAATATTTGATACTTGACAAACCAAGTCTCTCTAACACGTAACTTAGAGCATGAATTTATATTAAGGAAAAAAATCTAATGAAACAAAAATGATCTTTCATTGGCCATCTATAAACACAGATCAGCAAAATATCTTTTCGTACTGTGCATTGTTGGAATTTGAAAGTTGCATACACGAGCTACGGATAATCCAAAATATTAAATTATGACTAAAACTCAAGCCCTGGAACTCAAATAACCCTTTAAGACAAAATATGCTATGAAAGAGACAAGTTCATTTCTAGTGGAAAAAGTAAAGGTAAGGCTAGTCTAGCTTGTTCTAAAAGTGAGCCTACAAGATAAAAGATCCAATAAAACTAAGAGAACTATTATTAATTTGTCTATATATCTTATATATATTCATCAATAGCAAATATCCAAGAAAGAATTTTTTTAAAGTACAAAAATTATAAAAAAAACAAAAAGTTCAAAAGAATATTATCATTATTAATAAAATGTTATTACATTTTTAGCTTGTCTTTGTTACAAAATATAAAAAATAAGGTAAACCATAAGGCGCTTGGGGTCATTATTGCTCATTTTGTATTCATCCATTAAGGATTGTTTAACTTGGTCCAAAAATTAGCTTGGACTAGCCTTTAGCACCACAAGAGATCTTATTTTAGCAACTTTTTAAGGAAAGGAAAAGACCCTCCATCTTTTCTAAAACTAAAATTTCAAACTTCTTGGAATGAATGTACATGTTTATAACCTAAAATACAAATTCTTCACATCTAGATTTTTGTAGCTTTGTTTTTTTTAATTTGGTAAGTTCATCATCAAAACTCTTCAGCGAAGAATTTAAATTAGACTACACCATGAGAAACACAAGAGTGAGGAAGATCCCTCATCATTCGATTCAAGTAGGCGAGATTCCAAAACATTCATTTCACTCTACACGAACACTTTTTTCAAGAGAGAGAAGTGGCAATCGAATCTACAAGCTGAGTTTCTTCAAATTCTTTAATTGATATCTTTGATTGGAAACCATTGCAAGAATCACATCCTTCTCAAAAAGGATTTCCTTCAAAATTTTAAAGTTTTCCAATGCTTCTATTATTCTCTCCTCCTAAGCAACCTGGAACCCAACCACCTCTTTATTTTTATTATTTACAAAATGTGATTCCTTCACTTTCATATTATGCATTACATGCGTACTCATGAGGTTTCACATCAAAGAACATGGAATCCTAATTAGAAACTTGCCTAAACATGACATTCATATGCAACTCTCCAATATCCAAAGGTCATGGGTCGAGAAATTGAACTCAAACATTGGCATCAATGTGTTGATGTTGAAATCAGCCATAGCTCTCTCAAAGTTCTCCTACTAGCAAAAACTCTTCCCAATAGAGGGGCTTCAACATCTTAAGAGGATTGACATTAGGCTCATATTATCAATCTCCCTCTACTTTTCGCTCTCTTTATGAGTTGCTTTATCCTTCTCAACAGGGAAGCCACCATATTATTCACAGATTTCCCTTGGGAAGACATCAAGTTTGGGGACCTCTAACTCTATATGGTTTCCACTGTTGAGCCATCTCTCTCATAGTAACCAAAGCACTTACTAGAAAGGAGATAATCAGGCCTGCAGTAGTTGAATATGAACTACCATCCAAATTAGATATAACAAGAAGTTGTTTCTTCTAAAAAAGGTACTTCTTCAACCTCCTCGGCATCATTAAAAAAAATTTTAATCAAGTGTCATCTTAGAAGTGGCCAGTACATTCCCAACTATGCCCTTGGGAATGATATGGCCTACAAGCCAAACAGAAATATACAACAAAATTGATAAGCTCAAATAGAGATTTTGAACTCAAAATTAAGAACAAATTTGGGCTTGCAACATGGTCTCGATCACTTATTGATCATCTAGGTTGACATGTAATGCCAAAAGTCAAAAGGCCATCTCCCTCATCTCCAAGTTCCAAGCATACTCAACCACAAAGAGACTTGCAATAATCAGCTTCTCCCTCAAGAGTTTGCTCGAACATTTCTTTATCAGCCACCCATTGGCCAACCTTGCATAATTAATTTTACTTTTCAATCAGTCGCTTCATTCATTAATTTCTCCATCTTGATGTATTTCAAAGAAGAAAGACAATACCCCCTTGAAATCGGTGATGGTGAGCATGAAGTGAAAAAATTTGAACTAAATTTTGTTGTCTTCACGTGTAAAAACACTAAATATAATGATGCTCACAAAACAAATAGGTATCACCTAGGCCAAGATGACGTTAAAATTAAAGAGGGTTGTATTTTTTTGAAAATAATGGCAGTTACAAACCAAGGCAAAATTGGTCTATGCAAAATCAAAGCTTATCAATGAACAATTTATTAGGGAACTCTTTGAACCAATTACCCACATAGTGAATCACCATCAAGCTTCAAGTCTTCCACTACAAATTTCACCAACCTCTAATCACGAAAGACGAGAACTTCCATTAGGATTCCATGAAGCTCTCAATGCAATTGATGATTGTACCAACCATCTCTTCTAGATCAAAGAGGATAAAGAAAAAAGGAAAGGAGGTTGAGAATGGGAAGAACATTAAAGAATACTGAGAACAAAGGCACAAAGAGCAAGAAAACGAAGGGTAGCTCAAATTTCCAAAAGTGTGAAAGAAAATGAGTGCAAAGAAAATCATATTTATAGCCAAACCTTAGGTAGCTCAGCAATCAACAGTCCTTATCGAGCAATTAAATCATCATCAAAATATCTAACAAATCAAAAGCTTTCTTGATCAAATAAAATATGCATGGAAACTAAAATGGTGCACCACCTTTGATTGGATCAAAAAAAGGGAGTGTCGATTTCTCAACAAAAGAAAAAAAAAACTTTATGCTTACAAGTTTAACAAAATACATCACAAAAAAATCAAGATTGAAATAATGGATTATCTTAACATGAACAATTCGATGAAAATAACCTTGCTTCATTCATAATAATTTCTAATTGCATCACAGAAATGAAATGCCAAAAGGAAAGGGAAAAAATAAATAAAGAAAAACTAATAATATACCCACTTTCAATGTGAGGTACAAAAAAAAAAATCAAAACTAGCTATCTAGAGGGCAAGAGGGCAACTCAAAGAAGTTGACATGTTGTTAAACTCATCACACAACAACATTCCAGCACCACCTAGCAAATGGTAATGCTTGGGATCAAGCATGGCCCTGAGGTAAACAATGCCACACTCAATTAACTCACAAAGCATGACTTCAACACCAGGCGATAACCAATTCAACTGAGAAGCCATCAATAGCTTCCTTAAGAAGAAGATTTTAGTTTCCAACACATCAAAAACTAGGTAAAACTCCTAACAAATTAACCTTGGTCTCAACTTCATTCAGTCACTACTTGCTGCTTAGAGAGAAAAATGTTTTGCCTTCTTTGGCAAGGCATTGGCTTCAAGTGCCACAATCTCTTTCTTAAATGGTGCAATTTCCAAAGACAATTCTTAGAGATTTAGAACAATAGGTTTCCATGTCAAAATATGGTTGAAAACAGAATTTGAAGTAAGAGTAATCATGCACTCAAAATGTAAATGTAGACCACCAATATCAACTGATTCCTCATAGGCAAAGCCTGATCATGACAAATTAACTCTCACGAAGATCAAAACTTCCTCTAGACTTGATTTCAAGATCCAACAGAGAGCAAAGTTCAAAGAATCAGCAAAGGCGGTGGAGATGCTAATCTACAAGTATGCTCCCAATGATTTTTAAGCAATCGAAGAGGTGTCCATGCAGTACACATATTCTCGCACAGATTAATACTTCACTACTTAAGATTAGAGAAGAAGAAAAGCATTCCAAAAGTAAGTCAAAGAAATCAGTCGGACTAACAACTAGCTAATCTTGAACGCCCAATCTCATTCGCCATCCAACGCAAACGGGTTGCAAACACAAGTCTAATCAAAACAATTTATATTTAGCAGCACAAAAACTGGCAACATATCGAAACCAATAAAAAATCAGAACAGAGCCTAAAACAATCTAAAGACAAACAAGACGGTCACATGGAAGAAAGAAAAAATAAAATAAGGGGCTATTAAGGGCGATAAAAACTCGAACATGTACCTCAAGCTTCTGCACGGCCACGGCCTCGGATGCGCCGGTGATGCTCATAAACATATCAATTGCCTCCTGCGCCGGCCTTCCCATTTTCTGTGCTCGCAACTGTCCTAGGGTTTCGCTTTAGATTCTGTTCTCGGAGGGAGCGATAGAGACGGAGGGATGGGAGTCCAGGCTACAAGGAGAAGGGAAAGCAAAAGAGTGAAATTTCTGAGTTCCTTGATGCTCGCTATTCATGGAGATTAAGTAAAAAGCAATATATATATATATATATA